GGGGGGTTGGGCTCCATGATCTAATAAAATATTTTTGAGATTTACATTACCTGATCTCTCTGATTTTCCCTCCCCCCTTCTCCCTTCCCTATAGTGTTCCTTCTGTTATCACTTGACAGTTAGCAGAGTACTGATTATGAGAATCCATTATATATTTGATGCAATTAAGATCTTGTCCCTGATATTTTAATGTAATTTACACACTGAAATATTCTTCCTTTCAAAACCCCCCAAAAATCTGCTGTGCTGGCAGATTGCATAGTTACATAGTTAGTCAGGTTGAAAAAAGACACAAGTCCATCGAGTCCAACCTATAGATTAGATTGCACTATGTAGAGGACAAGCTAAGGTCTCCCATAATCAGACATATATCTTGAGACCTGATATACAGTATTTGCTTATCGCCGATCCCAAATACCTTATATGTGACTTTGCTTATAGTTAAATGTGGTGTAGCACTCCACATTTCCTTTTTTCCATCGAAAAGTTACAAGATTAGCACATGTTACACAGAAACTTTCCAACTCGGTGTGATTGAAAGTGACAGCAAATGCTTCCAACAGTTGGAAGGCTTGTTATTCTTTTCTTGCTTAACGTACTCAGCATATTAAATATTCTGAATACTGTCTGGTGTGTGACTAAAGTGCCAACAAGGGAATGGCAGCCAATTCCAATCTATCATAGATGTAATAAAATGGGGTCACTTAGAAATATCCAATGAAATATATGTCTTTGCTGCGATAGTAAGCACTAATAACTTGGATAATTTAGCTTTAAAAACAAAGAAGCACTCCTGCCACATATATAACTGCAAACAGTTTTTTATGCTGTACACTTTGGTCAATACTATATAATACCTTTATATATTATATTGCATTATATTATAACATTTTATGTCTAAAGGTGAAGGACGGTATAACATAAAGCAGCCACCAGGGATTGCACTCTATATTACAAAACTGGCCACTATGGTTTGCATATTGGATATTTCACCAAAACGAAAATTGTTTCTGCACTGTATATGTGGCGATGATGAACTGACTGATATACCAAAAATGTAAATCCTCTTTATTTATAAAAGCCAAGTTTTGGGTATGCTAGTTCCTAGACCTTTAGTCTGTATTTCACTGTGCTGCACACTTATAACTAGGAAAAGTCAATATTATATTTCATATTAATGCACTGCTCCCAACTGTCTCCCATTTGGAGAGACTATCCCTTTTTTGGAACCAAATTCCTCTCCCTTCTTTCCTCTTCAGTTGTCGCTCTTATAGGCCTGGTCTATTATTATTATTAGTAGTAGTAGTATTATAGTAATAATAAAAGTGCCGCCAAGCCAATGTGGGCTTCTGACAACCGCATGGATAGTATACTTTACCAAGCATAATTGTCTTTTTTAGTAAGTTGGTTCTTCTCATATGTCCAAAATAAGACAGTTTCAGATCCTTGTTGAAGGATCCATTTGTTTATTTTTCTTGCCGTCCATACTATTTGTAGGATTTTTCACCAAACTCCAAAGTTCAAAGCAGCAATACTGCAAAGCCTATTGTATTACACTAAACCTTTCATTCAACCACTACATTTTTGTTTTATTATTTTGAAAGTCATTATAAAAGAAGTGGGTTAAACCAATATTTATTTTTTTCTTTTTAGTGTAACTGGAGGTGTGCATAGGTGTGTCTTTTGCATACATGTTTTTGATAAAAGGGGTGCCTCTTTCTTCTCTAAGAAACATGGAGGGTATGCTAGTGCCAGGACCTTCATTATTTATTACCTAAAAATCATTTAAAGAAGGACACCAAGAGACATTCCATCAGCAGAGGGGGAGAGAGGCTGCAGGAAAAAAAAAACAGGCAGGACCAAGGTTTGCCCTACTGCAAGGGTTAAGATTTATTCTACTCAGTGTTCCTCGTTAACAAAAACAAATATTATGTATTATTCATGGTAGAGGGGCATTTTGCCATTTTGGTCTTAACTGACTCGGTGGCATAATTTACTTTCCAGATGCTGCGGTGAAGTAATGTTGTAGATATCCACTAATGTAACCACATTATGCTTGGCACACTAATGTCATAGTCAGAGCGATGAGGTCATTAGGTCTACTGTACTTATGATATGACAGAAAAGATCTAATCTTTGCATGAACACTGCAAACACAGAGTGGCTTCCCATGACCACAGCTATTCTCAGTAAAGAAGTATCATGCACATAAAACTCCCCATCAGCTATTAATTTACACTATAGCTGTATGAGAAAGTTTAAATGTTTAATACAAGAAGGATATAAGATAAAGAAACAAGCAAACCATTTATCAGTATTTGTCTTCTAAGTGTACCTTAGATTTATATTTCCCGTTCTGCCACACAATGGCTACAAAAAGAGGCAGGTTCTTTCCCCTAAAAATAAATTGTCTGCATCTGGCCAGATCTCCCAGGAGATTATTGGCAAATTAAAAGAGCAATTCTTCCAGGCATGAAGTTTAGTCAGTCCTCACCCTCCCTTCTTCTCATGCATATTATCAAATAACTGCTGTTCTACTTGGAATATTTGTGAGCGCTGCATGCAAATGTTACCCTAATGTGGCTTAGCTTTATTTATTTATCAGTCAGAAATGCTGCTCTGTGCTATACTATGAAGAAAACACATAGCAGCCAGCTATGGACTCCCTTTTCTCTATTGTTTTTTTTGGGAAGAATACACCACAGGTTCAATGGGTTTTTATTAACCCCGTCACAAAAAAACGGTCAGATCTAAACTAACCCTAGCCTTTAAAAGAAGAGTATCTATACTTACCTTTGCATCTATACTTACCTTTGTATCTATACTTACCTTTGGACTGCAACCCACCCTACTTACCACCTGCTCCCTATGCTGAATACTGTGGTTCCTCCTCCTGGTTCATATATGACCTGTAGTGACGACCCAGCTGGTGGGAGGAACCACAGCATTCCTTGGGGGCCACAGGTATTCACACACAAGTGTGGAATATTTGCACCAATCGGGGATTAGCACAGAACGGTAGGGTTAGTTTGGAATTGACCAAAAAAAGGGACTAAAAAAGCCTGTGTGCACACTAAGACATATGCTTGTCTGGGAATATTTATAGGAAAATCCTCATAGACTTCTCATGGCCAACCCTAAAGTGCTCAGCTCTGAGTACTTCCAAGTTCAGTGTTGTCAAATCCCAGGCCCTGTGACTGGAAAAAACAGCTGATTAAGTACAAGACATTAGGGGTCCAAGAGACCTATAATGCCTCCATAAAGAGTAACTTTCACTCAATATATGCTATTATGTAGGGGCCTGTCTGCCCACTTGTGATAGCAATAAAGTTAAGCTAAAAAAAACAGCAAACAAAGCTTAATAATTAATATACATCAAAATAAATAATAAAAAAAAAAAAAAGAAGTAAAGTCCTTTGCTGTTCGCATGCACATACAAACGCAAGCGCACATGTATGGTTCACGTGTACATAAACTACAATGAAGCAACACATATGAGGTCTTACCATGCACACAATACTAAGAGGGATAATTATAGGGTCATCATTAATGAATAAATCTAATTTAATGAGCTGTACAGGTTTTTAAAGCATTGCCTAAGCTGCGAAAACATTTTGGTATCATAGTTAGCTGCTGGGTTATGGTCACACAGAATCTGTCACACATCTGACATATTTGGTAACTTTTTACTCGATTTAGAAAATACAGCAAATTTAGAGATAACAGAAATTGGAAAATTATGTAGATTTATTGTGTTTGTGTGCGCTAATATTAATTTGGAGATTTGATAAACAATTGCACTAATAACGTGTAACATAAAAAAACTGCAACCACAATAATTCTATTCTATTTCTTTCAGAAAATATCAAATGTTTTAGGGTTTTGAGCGTGTTTTCACGTGATAAAATCTGCATTTTAACAAGTAAGTGAAAAAAAGGAAAATATGGCTGAAAGGGTTAAAGAGATAAAACATATAAAAAATGATTTTGCCTTGGCATATGCTTTAATCTGTGTATAGCTTGATTAAAGGAATAATTATATGCAAACATGCCTTTTAAAGTAAAGGTGCCCATACACTGGCCGAATTACCAGCTGAAATTCGCACAGTGTGCGGGGCTGTCGTCTCCCTTTCAGCTGGCATTCCTCGATCAGTTGATCAAAGGAGCCGGCTATAAAATCTTTGAACGATCAGTGCCGGAGGTCAATGAGCTGCCCACTCTGATCAGGTATTCTGCGTGTCCCGGCGGCAGCTGTCAGGAGACTCAATACAACCGATTGGTCCAACTGGTCTAAAAATAATCAACGTAACATTCCACCTGCTTTTTTTGTATGAGCTTTGTGAGAATGACCCTGTACTGTAAGGACAGATTCTAGGAAAATTGGCCTAGGACAGGAGATTAGGTCCTTGTTTAGGGTATAACTGAGTTGCTTCATATATTGTGTGGTTCCAGTATTGGGAGAAACGTTTTGTAAGTATAAGTAGCCGTCATGTCCTGTATATTGGTGTGCGATGTGTTATCAGTGTCACTATGTCGCCCTGAGGAAGGGACCCTGCGTGGCCCTGAAATGTTGGCTGTGTATGACAAATCATGACGATGATTCAATGAATTGAAAAAGGATCAAGGATTTATTGCTGTGTGTGCTAGTGACTATGTGTGCTAGTAACTATCTGATCTTCATTGATGTTCTGGCAAATGTTTCATCACATTTTGTTTTTCCTAACCTGCTGACTTGTTTTTAGAGGTGTAGGGTCTGGGGCTGTCAATCCAATCTTGGCTTCAGCATCTACTGAGTCACTTACCTAGAATACAGTAGGTGAATGATAAAAACCCTATCCTGTTCTCGGGGTCTTCACATTTGTTCCAAGTCACTGTGTCACTCGGCAGCTATGACCAGCATAAGGCCATAGAGCCTGGCGCTCTAAAACTAAATCAGCAATGGCAGCTCCCATATTTTTGTTTCTCTTTACAGGTTCTCTTTAAAGTAAATGTTTCAGAATTCAGTAATGCTTTGTTATCTATTTGTTTTCCATGACTGAATTTCCATATTTTACACAAAAAACTACCCCTTTTGTAAATCAGCCCTGATGTGGCTATAAACACTGATATTTGGAAGTGTCCTCCAACACGTGACACTCTTGTTGCTATGGTAACCCTTTTCTCTCCTGAACAAGCGAGTGAAATAATTGAAGAAAGTGCATATAAACTGCTGCTGCATAAGTTATGAGCACCCTGGAGAAAGAAAGTAATTAGGATTAAGTAAGAAATTAAAAATATGTGTCCCTACATAATCAGAGATGTTATTAAAACCAACCTTTTATAATACACTGTAATATAAATCTGGACTTTATATACCTGACCCTTCTGTTCAGCAAATAAAGGCATGAAAAAAATTGCATTAACAAACACTACTAGTATTAAGCTTATTCTCTAGCAATTAGGTAATAACTCAATCTGGGAAAATGCAGATAATTAATATGTGGGCAATTTCATAACATGAATGTACAGCTTTCCCTTCTTTGTACATTATTTCAGCAGAATCACAAAACACATTCATTACTACAGTCATTATTCATGATGGCCAATAAAATTATGCTGGAAGGATGATGTTGAAAGTAGACATAATTATGTTAAGATGTCTGACTCAGAGAATGATCTATGCTCCAGTTCAATGGCTGTAGCCTTACTACTTCACAATCTTGGTGCATATATTACCAGAGAACATCCGGCTACAATTGTATTCAACCAAGGGGCCCATATGCAGGAAAACAAGTTGACCAAGGCCACACATGTCAAGTCTAACAGGCAGTCATCATACCTGCATACTATGTTAAATTCAGATCACACCTTATCAGCGTGCATCTACGCAGATGATCAAAGCTTTTCCTAGGTGCAACTCTATATTTTAGCAATAATCCCACCTTATCAGCGTGCATCTACGCAGATGATCAAAGCTTTTCCTAGGTGCAACTCTATATTTTAGCAATAATCCCACCTTATCAGCGTGCATCTACGCAGATGATCAAAGCTTTTCCTAGGTGCAACTCTATATTTTAGCAATAATCCCTCCAACATCACACCTACTGCTACTTTAATGACATGCACTCACTGATTTCCCTGGTCCAGTTGTATTACTTCTGGACCAGAAGTAATACAACTGGACCAAGGAAATTTTTTCCCTTCGCCTTTACCTGGCAATCCTGCAAATAACACACTTTCTGTCACTGGGTTGCTAAGCTCATTCCTCCACTGTTTCTATGGAGGGAGCCATGATGGCCACACAGACTGGGCAACAAATATGTTTGCCTTTGTTACATAGTTACATAGTATTTGAGGTTAAATAAAGACACAGGTCCATCAAGTTCAATCTTTGTGTGTCTGTATGTGATTGTGTATGTGTACACGAGTCCCTGTGTGGTCTAGTTTTTAAGAGTACCTGTACCTGTACTGTATGTTGCGGTCTCTGAGGAAGGAATCTTAATGCTTTTTTAATGATTCAATACTCTCTGCTTATACCACTGCTTGTGGCAGAGAGTTCCAAACGTTAACCGCTGTAACAGAAAAAAAAAACCTACGCCCCTTGTGGTTAAATCTTTTCTCCATCAAATTTAGGTGGTGGCCTCTAGTCTTTGTTATGAAGTTTACCGTAAACAGTTTATTACTGATGTTGCCATCACCACTAAACATGGTGTACATCAAAATCATGCCCCCTCCTAATCTCCTCACTTCCAGCGTAAACAAGTTTAACTTTAGTAACCTTGTCTCATAGCTTAGCTACTCCAGCCCCTTATTTAGTTTAGTTGCTCTTCTCTGGACTCTCTCCAGCTCATGGACATCCTTTCAGTGGATTGGTGACCAAAATTTAACTGCATACTCAAGATGAGGCAGAACAAGTGATCTATAAAGTGGCAAAATGATTGCTTTGTCTCTACAGAACATTCTCTTTTAAATACAAGACAGTACTCTGCTTGCTTTGCATGCTGTTGTTCAATCTGTAGTCAACTATGACCCCCAGATCTTTTTAACTTCCATTACATTGGAGATGGGGAGGTTTGTAGCTTACAGAAGAAAAATAGGGGTGTTTTTGTGCTTAGTGCAGCTCACAGGAAATGACAAGCTCACTGCATTTTTGGCAACATCAACAAATATTTCATGGATTCTTGTACTTGCTGAAAGGGTTCTTAGATTGTGTTATGAAAACTAATGCAGCCACCTAATTTGCCTAAATCTGTATATCTGCATATCTGCCTTGGGAGATCTAAGGCACTACTGCCTGCTAGTCTTGTGAGAGTTGGTGATGTTACTTGTGCTCTTCTCACTGTTGTTCTTTTTGGAGGCTTTGATATGAGGAAGTAAAACCCTGCCTATACCAAGATGGCCACCTCAGGCCAATTCAGTAATGTGGAAAGATCAGCTGCAGGAAGATCACCTGGTGACTAGTCCTATGTTCTATGACATTTTTTGGGGCGGCACAGCTTCCAGAGTTTAGTTCTTGATTAAACTATCAATTTACACCACCAAAAAAAAGCTAAGCAAATAGGTAAGAGCCTTCCATTGGATAATTAGTCTAGGTTCAGCAACATTATGTCCCCAAAAATGAGGTCAGCTGCCTACCTAAATATACTGAAGACCAGGTAATTCCATCTATTCATTTTTTCTTCCCTGATGGCATGGGCATATTCCAAGATGACAATGCCAGGATTCCTCAGGCTCAGATTCTTAAAGAGTGGTTCAGGGAGCATGAGACATCATTTTCATACATGGAGTGGCCACCACAGAGTCCAGATCTTAACCCTATTGAGAATCTTTGGGATGTACTGAAGAGGACTTCACGCTGTGGTCTGACTCTCCCATCTCTCATCACTCTCTCATCACTAAAAGATCTTGGCGAAAAATGAATGTAACTCTGGACGGAAATAAATGTGACATTGCATAAGCTTATCAAAACAATGTCATGGCGAATGCGTGCCATAATCAAAACTAAAGTTGGTCCAGCAAAATAGAGTGTGTCCTTTTTTTGGCCAGGCAGTGTATTATAGTATTGTTTTTGGTTTTGCCCAGACATACACTTTTAAATATTTAGAGGTTTACATTATATTGGGTATGAAGTAGTCCAACTTTCAAGATTACATTCTAATATCAGCTGCCTATATCTCTGGTTAATTTAACATTTTTACATGAGGGTTTCACTCATGGTAACCTCTGTTTCTGCATTTTTAATCTTCTGCTCAGTTTGAATTGCCCAGGTTTGTAGCTGGTTTACTTTAAGACAAATATCAAATGCCTTCCTGAAGGTTCATGATATACAGAACTGCAAATGAAGACATTGACTGCAAACAATCTGGTACTCCCAACAGATATATTATTTTCTTCCTCAGCTTGTATCCAAGCATTTTTGCTCTTATTACTATTTGGCTTGACAGAGTTGCCAGCAAGAACCTATATTATTACCCAATTATAACAAAACATTGCTCTTTAACTACAGTGTGAGGTGCCCAACAGAGTTTAAAATGCCGTCTATAACAGTGGGCCCCAAGCAATGGGCCATAAGTCACATGTGGCTCTTAGCTGGCTGCTTACATGGCAAACTAATCCACATCTACTTATATGATGTAAACAATAAAAAGCAAAAGAAATGCACTCACACAAAACCCATGCAGTGTTTTTGTTTGACTTATTGCAAATGGTTTCTCCCATACCTCTGGCATGCTATAGCATAGGGATAGGCAGCCTCAGTGCTCCAGCTGTGGTGAAACTGCAAATCCCATTCTGCCTTTGCATCTGAAAGTCATGCTTTGGCCTCTCTGAGTCTTGCACTGCCTCATAGGACTTGTAGTTCCACCACAGCTGGAGTACCAAAGTTGCCTACCCCTATTAAAGCATATTTTTAGCAGGACAACACTATTGTTTTCTAATGCAGCTTTACAGCTTCCTGTGTCAGCTACTTGCTTACTGGCTCTAAAAGAGCATCATTATCCTGCTGAAGTATCCCCTGTGTTCTTTCTTTGTTGACTACCTAAACTCATCTGTTGGGGAGGACAAAGGGATGGTCACATGTGTGTTCTGCGACTCTTTTGTTATCTAGGGAGGTTCTTAAGCCAGGTTGTATTTCGTATCTGCAGTATAGTCTGCAGGAAGGTCCAGGAGCTAGCTGTGCTGTCTGGATAACAGGACTAGCTGAACAGAATTGCACCCCTTTCCAAACATGCAGCATCGTGGTTTAGTGGGTAGTACTTCTGCCATGCAGCACTAGTGGTCCCTGCTTCAAATCCTGGTTAAGACACTATCTGCATGTTCTCCCTGTGCTTGTGTGGGTTTCCTGCCATACCCCAAAGACATGCTGGGAGGTTAATTGGCTCCCATATGCATGTGAGATAGGGACCTTTGACTGTAAGCTCCTCGGGGGAAGGAACTGATGTGTAAAGTGTAAATTGTTGGAGCTATATAAATGTCAGTAGTGAAAAATAAATAATAAACTTGAGAGCATTAAAATATTTGCATAGTAGTAGTGAATTTAGCTTTTTGTCTTCAGTAAAACCTTAAAATCTTAGCTAATTATGCTACAAATAATCATATATTCTAATTTATATAACTAATACTCTGTAGTTAATTTTGTGATGATGTGACTACACCTAAAAAAAAAGAACATTTATTGAGGAAATGGGCAATAAAGTAAATTGAAACAGATTGAGTACTAAGAAAATTAGGTTTTCCAGAATGTCATTTTTCTGTCTAGAAATACAATTTCCTGTTTTAACAGCTTAGATCTTTATCCTGTGTCCTGTTAGTCATCATTTTCTTGCTGGAATTTAGGTTATCTGCAGTCATATCTACTTAAAAATTCATTAAATATTTACACCAGTGTGCAATGAGCAAAACTCAGCACGGTAAGAAGGCAAAGACATTGTAACTATCAAAGATTTATTGAACAGATTATAAAGCTTTAAAGTGTAACTCGGATTTTCCCCGAGTATCTTTTTTACACAAATATAACCATTTAACAAAAATGTTTCTTTTTTTACTAGAAGGCAGCATAAAGGGCTGTACTTTATCCACATTTCTGAATTCAAGTACACGTCATGAGGTAGATAAGGGACTACTTCTTCTGGAAATGCTAGATGTCTCTCCCCGAGGCTGACCCCAAATGACAATTTGCACACCATGTGTGGAGGGTTGAGGCAAAGTATAAACATCTTACAGCATGCCGCACATCCTGCAGCGTGCCGCCTCCTACACATAACATTGGTCTTCTGGGCACTGCAGCGAGTGAGGGATGAAATTCAAGCAGTGAAATGCTCCAGTCATATCCCCATCCTTCCTCATTACTTGCCAATTTACAAAACACCTTGGGGGGAATTTATTAAAACTGGGGCAGACAAAATCTGGAGCAGTTGTGCATGGCAACCAATCATCTTCTCTGTTCAGTTTGTTCCCTTAAGATTTGAAAATTAAAGATAGAAGCTAATTGGTTGCCATGAGCAACTGCTGCAGATTTAGTTTGCTCCAGTTTTGATAATTGCCTTTTTTCCCCCCCCCCCCCCCTTTGTTTTTTTCTCAAAGAACACAAGGCATTCTGTGATTGGAGAAGGAGAGATGATGTCACATTCCAAACCCCTTTTCACTTCCAGCGAACACAACATCCCTTGTATTCTTTGGCAGTCATACATGGCATTTTGTGAATGGGCAAGTAGTGAGGAGGGGCAGGGATGTGACTGCAGAACTTCACTGCTCAAGTAGTCCCACTCTCTGCAAGTGCTCAAGTAGTCCCACTCTCTGCAAGTGCTCAAGTAGTCCCACTGCCTGCAAGTTCTCAAGTAGTCCCACCCCCTGCAAATGCTCAAGTAGTCCAACTCCCTGCAACTGCTCAAGTAGTCCCACTCCCTGCAACTGCTCAAGTAGTCCAACTCCCTGCAAGTGCTCAAGTAGTCCCACTGCCTGCAAGTGCTCAAGTAGTCCCACTCCCTGCAACTGCTCAAGTAGTCCCACTCTCTGCAACTGCTCAAGTAGTTCCACTCCCTGCAACTGCTCAAGTAGTCTCGCTCCCTGCAACTGTTCAAGTAGTCCCACTCTCTGCAACTGCTCAAGTAGTCTCACCCTCTGCAACTGCTCAAGTAGTCTCACTCCCAGCAACTGCTCAAGTAGTCTCACTCCCTGCAACTGCTCAAGTAGTCCCACTCCCTGCAACTGCTCAAGTATTCTCACTCTCTGCAACTGCTGAAGTAGTCTCACTCCCAGCAACTGCTCAAGTAGTCTCACTCCCTGCAACTGCTCAAGTAGTCCCACTCCCTGCAACTGCTCAAGTAGTCTCACTCCCTGCAAGTGCTCAAGTAGTCTCACTCCCTGCAACTGCTCAAGTAGTCTCACTCCCTGCAAGTGCTCAAGTCGTCTCACTCCCTGCAACTGCTCAAGTAGTCTCACTCCCTGTAATGCCCGGAA